TTTTGGAAAAAATTTCGAAAAATTAAATTTGCGAGATAATTGATCGGGAATACCGCCAAAGTCTTAACCCGGGAGTCTCGAACAAAAAATGTATGGCGCACTTTTTGATTGGTCCAGCGGATGCTGAGCTACACTCAGATAAATTTTTTAAAAAATTTCGAAAAATTAAATTTGCGAGATAATTGATCGGGAATACCGCCAAAGTCTTAACCCGGGAGTCTCGAACAAAAAATGTATGGCGCACTTTTTGATTGGTCCAGCGGATGCTGAGCTACACTCAAAAAGATTTTGGAAAAAATTTCGAAAAATTAAATTTGCGAGATAATTGATCGGGAATACGGCCAAAGTCTTAACCCGGGAGTCTCGAACAAAAAATATATGGCGCACTTTTTGATTGGTCCAGCGGATGCTGAGCTACACTCAGATAAATTTTTTAAAAAATTTCGAAAAATTAAATTTGCGAGATAATTGATCGGGATTACCGCCAAAGTCTTAACCCGAAAGTTCTGAACAAAAAATGTATGGCGCACTTTTTGATTGGTCCAGCGGATGCTGAGCTACACTCAGATAAATTTTTTAAAAAATTTCGAAAAATTAAATTTGCGAGATAATTGATCGGGATTACCGCCAAAGTCTTAACCCGGGAGTCTCGAACAAAAAATGTATGGCGCACTTTTTGATTGGTCCAGCGGATGCTGAGCTACACTCAGATAAATTTTTTAAAAAATTTCGAAAAATTAAATTTGCGAGATAATCGCTCCGGAATTCCAACAAAGTCATTAGAAGAAAGTTCTGAACAAAAAATGTATGGCACACTTTTTGATTGGTCCAGCGGATGCTGAGCTACACTCAAAAAGATTTTGGAAAAAATTTTGAAAAATTAAATTTGCGAGATAATTGATCGGGATTACCGCCAAAGTCTTAACCCGAAAGTTCTGAACAAAAAATGTATTGCGCACTTTTTGATTGGTCCAGCGGATGCTGAGCTACACTCAAAAAGATGTTGGAAAAATTTTCGAAAAATTAAATTTGAGAAATAATCGCTCCGGAATTCTAACAAAGTCATTAGAAGAAAGTTCTGAACAAAAAATGTATGGCACACTTTTTGATTGGTCCAGCGGATGCTGAGCTACACTCAAAAAGATTTTGGAAAAAATTTCGAAAAATTAAATTTGCGAGATAATTGATCCGGATTACCGCCAAAGTCTTAACCCGGGAGTCTCAAACAAAAAATCTATGGCGCACTTTTTGATTGGTCCAGCGGATGCTGAGCTACACTCAAAAAGATTTTGGAAAAAATTTCGAAAAATTAAATTTGCGAGATAATTGATCGGGATTACCGCCAAAGTCTTAACCCGGGAGTCTCAAACAAAAAATCTATGGCGCACTTTTTGATTGGTCCAGCGGATGCTGAGCTACACTCAAAAAGATTTTGGAAAAATTTTCGAAAAATTAAATTTGCGAGATAATCGCTCCGGAATACCAACAAAGTCATTAAAAGAAAGTTCTGAACAAAAAATGTATGGCGCACTTTTTGATTGGTCCAGCGGATGCTGAGCTACACTCAAAAAGATTTTGGAAAAATTTTCGAAAAATTAAATTTGAGAGATAATCGCTCCGGAATTCCAACAAAGTCATTAGAAGAAAGTTCTGAACAAAAAATGTATGGCACACTTTTTGATTGGTCCAGCGGATGCTGAGCTACACTCAAAAAGATTTTGGAAAAAATTTCGAAAAATTAAATTTGCGAGATAATTGATCAGGATTACCGCCAAAGTCTTAACCCGGGAGTCTCAAACAAAAAATCTATGGCGCACTTTTTGATTGGTCCAGCGGATGCTGAGCTACACTCAAAAAGATTTTGGAAAAAATTTCGAAAAATTAAATTTGCGGGGTAATTGATCGGGAATACCGCCAAAGTCTCAACCCGGGAGTCTCGAACAAAAAATGTATGGCGCACTTTTTGATTGGTCCAGCGGATGCTGAGCTACACTCAAAAAGATTTTGGAAAAATTTTCGAAAAATTAAATTTGAGAGATAATTGATCGGGATTACCGCCAAAGTCTTAACCCGAAATTTCTGAACAAAAAATGTATGGCGCACTTTTTGATTGGTGCAGCGGATGCTGAGCTACACTCAGATAAATTTTTTAAAAAATTTCGAAAAATTAAATTTGCGAGATAATTGATCGGGAATACCGCCAAAGTCTTAACCCGGGAGTCTCGAACAAAAAATGTATGGCGCACTTTTTGATTGGTCCAGCGGATGCTGAGCTACACTCAGATAAATTTTTTAAAAAATTTCGAAAAATTAAATTTGCGAGATAATTGATCGGGAATAATGACAGAAAATTGAGCAAAAAGTCTGGAACAAAAAATGTATGGCGCACTTTTGATTGGTCCAGCGGATGCTGAGCTACACTCAAAAAGATTTTGGAAAAATTTTCGAAAAATTAAATTTGCGAGATAATCGCTCCGGAATACCAACAAAGTCATTAAAAGAAAGTTCTGAACAAAAAATGTATGGCGCACTTTTTGATTGGTCCAGCGGATGCTGAGCTACACTCAGATAATTTTTTTAAAAAATTTCGAAAAATTAAATTCGCGAGATAATCGTTCGGGAGTACCGCCAAATTCTTTAGCAAAAAGTAGCGAACAAAAAATGTATAGCGTACTTTTTGATTGGTACAGCGGATGCTTAGCTAAACTAGAAAACAAATTCGGAAAAATTTTCAAAAAATTAAATTTGCGAGATAATCGCTCCGGAATACCAACAAAGTCATTAGAAGAAAGTTCTGAACAAAAAATGTATGGCACACTTTTTGAAAGGTCCAGCGGATGCTGAGCTACACTCAAAAAGATTTTGGAAAAATTTTTGAAAAATTAAATTTGCGACATAATCGCTCCGGAATGCCAACAAAGTCATTAGAAGAAAGTTCTGAACAATAAATGTATGGCGCTCTTTTTGATTGGTCCAGCGGATGCTGAGCTACACTCAGATAAATTTTTTAAAAAATTTCGAAAAATTAAATTTGCGAGATAATTGATCGGGAATACCGCCAAAGTCTTAACCCGGGAGTCTCGAACAAAAAATGTATGGCGCACTTTTTGATTGGTCCAGCGGATGCTGAGCTACACTCAGATAAATTTTTTAAAAAATTTCGAAAAATTAAATTTGCGAGATAATTGATCGGGAATACCGCCAAAGTCTTAACCCGGGAGTCTCGAACAAAAAATGTATGGCGCACTTTTTGATTGGTCCAGCGGATGCTGAGCTACACTCAGATAAATTTTTTAAAAAATTTCGAAAAATTAAATTCGCGAGATAATCGTTCGGGAGTACCGCCAAATTCTTTAGCAAAAAGTAGCGAACAAAAAATGTATAGCGTACTTTTTGATTGGTACAGCGGATGCTTAGCTAAACTAGAAAACAAATTCGGAAAAATTTTCAAAAAATTAAATTTGCGAGATAATCGCTCCGGAATACCAACAAAGTCATTAGAAGAAAGTTCTGAACAAAAAATGTATGGCACACTTTTTGAAAGGTCCAGCGGATGCTGAGCTACACTCAAAAAGATTTTGGAAAAATTTTTGAAAAATTAAATTTGCGAGATAATCGCTCCGGAATGCCAACAAAGTCATTAGAAGAAAGTTCTGAACAATAAATGTATGGCGCTCTTTTTGATTGGTCCAGCGGATGCTGAGCTACACTCAAATAAATTTTTTAAAAAATTTCGAAAAATTAAATTTGCGAGATAATTGATCGGGAATACCGCCAAAGTCTTAACCCGGGAGTCTCGAACAAAAAATTTATGGCGCACTTTTTGATTGGTCCAGCGGATGCTGAGCTACACTCAGATAAATTTTTTTAAAAATTTCGAAAAATTAAATTTGCGAGATAATTGATCGGGATTACCGCCAAAGTCTTAACCCGGGAGTCTCAAACAAAAAATCTATGGCGCACTTTTTGATTGGTCCAGCGGATGCTGAGCTACACTCAAAAAGATTTTGGAAAAAATTTCGAATAATTAAATTTGCGAGATAATTGATCGGGAATACCGCCAAAGTCTCAACCCGGGAGTCTCGAACAAAAAATGTATGGCGCACTTTTTGATTGGTCCAGCGGATGCTAAGCTACACTCAGATAAATTTTTTAAAAAATTTCGAAAAATTAAATTTGCGAGATAATTGATCGGGAATACCGCCAAAGTCTTAACCCGGGAGTCTCGAACAAAAAATTTATGGCGCACTTTTTGATTGGTCCAGCGGATGCTGAGCTACACTCAAAAAGATTTTGGAAAAAATTTCGAAAAATTAAATTTGCGGGGTAATTGATCGGGAATACCGCCAAAGTCTCAACCCGGGAGTCTCGAACAAAAAATGTATGGCGCACTTTTTGATTGGTCCAGCGGATGCTGAGCTACACTCAAAAAGATTTTGGAAAAATTTTCGAAAAATCAAATTTGAGAGATAATCGCTCCGGAATTCTAACAAAGTCATTAGAAGAAAGTTCTGAACAAAAAATGTAAAGCACACTTTTTGATTGGTCCAGCGGATGCTAAGCTACACTCAAAAAGATTTTGGAAAAAATTTCGAAAAATTAAATTTGCGAGATAATTGATCGGGAATACCGCCAAAGTCTTAACCCGGGAGTCTCGAACAAAAAATGTATGGCGCACTTTTTGATTGGTCCAGCGGATGCTGAGCTACACTCAGATAAATTTTTTAAAAAATTTCGAAAAATTAAATTTGCGAAATATTGTCTCGGGAATAATGACAAAAAATTGAGCAAAAAGTCTGGAACAAAAAATGTATGGGGCACTTTTTGATTGGGCTAGTGAATGCTGTGCTACAGTAAGATAAATTTTGTATTTTTTGATAATATTTTTGATTTTTTAAATTTACCATATTTTTCTGTTTCAATGTTACGCGGTTAGTACATTTATGTGGAAAAAGAAAGAATGATAGCAAAAAATAGTAAACAAATGAATAATAATTTACCAAATTGTACGATATTTCCCGCCATTTATCAACAAGTTCAGAGCATGGTGAACAAAGTTCAACTTTTGAAACTCGATGCTCCTTGATACGTTCTTCACAGCCAATGAGAAGTTTTGGTTTTGGCAATTTAATTTCAATATAACCACCACCTTCACGTGGTTCGTGATATCGTTGATGAAGTGGCAATGTCAAGATCACATTTGAACCAATCAGACGTGAACAAACGGTCACATTTTGTGTTCCTGCATTCTCAGCAAATAATTCTACATTAAATTCGCCTATAGAGCACGCTGTTAGCTAAAAAATGAATCATTGTAAATAAATTGTTTCAATATTTCCCGAATTAAAAATATAAGTTTTGGGATGAACATAACTTAAAAAAATTAGGATAAGTCAAAAGTAAAAGCGTAAAAATTACTTTAAATATAAAATTATTTTTGAAAAATAATGAATTAATTAAAATTAATACCCTCCTAAGGAGTTTTTTCAAAGTTTGTGAAGTATTCCTCCATATATTTAATTCGACATTTTTTGAATTTTTTAAAACATCTGAATATTCGTACCTGCCCTCTTCTCACCAGTTTCGAAATTTCGTCCACATTTACATAAAATGACGATGGAAATTCAAAATACAATGCCACGTGACAATTATTCATTTCAAAATTCTTTATGTTTATGTCATATTTAAGTGTCCTGAAAAAATAATTGCAAAAAAAAAATCTTTACCTTAAACATCGATAAGTTTCTCTGGAACAGCGATATATTTCTCTAGAATAGCGAAAATTTTCTCTGTTTTAGTGAAACATATCGTTGTTCTAGGTAAAGATTTTTTTGCGTGTCATTAAAATTATTTATACCATAAAATATATATATATATATATATATCATAAACATAACCTAAAATTTACCTGTGAAATCCACCGTTTGGTAAATCAAGTTTTACCTCAGCATTTAAAGCACTTATGAATGTAATGAAGGGATAAAAAAATAATAATACTAAAAGAAAATTAATCATTTTATTGTTGCATAACATATTAATAGTCAGGTACAGAATTTTTAAATATTAAAAAAAAGCTAACTATTTAGTTTACATCATTTATATACACACGTATCACATTTTCGTTGATAAAAATGAAAAAAAAATTCACCTACTGTACTGTGGCATTACCTTGTGGCGAAATAACGAAACATTACACTTTCATAGTGACTTTACTTCTATCGATAAAAAAGGGATTTCAAAAAAAAATATATTTTTAAACCAAATAATTTTTTTACACTATGATTTTGAACATTTTTTTTTACTAGTAAATTTTTCAATTTAAAATATCTATAATAGGAATATTTTTTTTTTGTTTTTTTAACGAATTTCTAATTAGTAATTTCCACTAAAAATTATTCAAAAAAGAAAAATTTATTTATTTATAATTAATGATATTGATCAGTGAATCTAATTATAATTAAAAAAAAAAAAAAAAAAAATTTCGCCCTCGAAATTTGAAAATAATGATTGAGTGCACATAAATGTCAAAACTAAGTCGTTGATGAGAATTAGTCAACATTCCTCTATGTTTTTTCAATACAACTCTTGGCACACAGAGTACAAAAATATCTTGGACGTTAGTAAAGTCGGGAATGTTCGGATTAGAAATAATAAGAAGAGTGAGAGAGAAAGAGCAGCTCGTCAAAGTTCCAAAAATATGGGGCACCATATATGTATTTATATATAATTTATATATTAATAGCAATATAACAATTATAATACTCATATAAGTAATTTTAATATTTAACAAATATAATTAAAATAAATTATAATAATTGTAATAATAATAATAATTTCCTACACAAAAAAATACCAAAAAAAATAAAAGTAGTAATAATAGTAATAATGATAATAATAAAATTAATAAATATATTAATAATAATGATTTTAATTTATATTATTAATTAATCCTATTTTAACTAATGGATTATATTTTGGTACGTAATCCCTAGACTAGGTCTATTGGACCCGGACAATGTCTAACTTGTAGTAAAGTAATTATATGTGTAAAATCGTCTTTTTAGGTTGTTTTTAACTATATTAATGTGCAATAATAATATAATATAAATTTTCTTACTATTAATATTCATTATTATTAATTATTATTATTGAACCAATAATAGAGGAATCTGTCGTATTTTTAATTCTTTAATATTAATTGAAGCATGATTTCTTGGCAAGCTAGACTAAACAAACGAGAAAGTAAAAAATTTCTTTTTTTTTTTTTAATAAAAAAAACTTCTATTTATCTTCTTTTAAATTAAAATAAAATTTTTTGAATTTTTTTTTTTATGAAATCCTTGTAGAAATAATGTACTACTCAAATTTGGATACAATCAATTTCAAAATTGATTGTTTAAGAAAAAAAAAAAAATTCATTTTGATAAATTCTAGAATATTCCATAAGGTATGTGGAGAATTTTCTCTCTCTCTCTCTCTCTCTCTCTCTCTCTCTCTCTCTCTCTCTCTCTGTCTTAGTTATATATTTTTTGGCACAATTCCAAAAATTGTGTTTCCAATTCTCAAAGTGTAAATATTATTGCGAATAGTCATATATATATAGCGATTTGGAATAATTAATTTTTTTATTTTTTTTCCCTTAATTTTTTGTTAAATGTATTTATTCTTATTTGACTTATGTTTGCCCTCCTACAACACACACAAACACATATATATATATGTATGTCATATCCTCCGCATCTATCTCATATCATCCTTTTCGCGTCTGATTTCTGATTTTAAAGCGCAACTTCTGGGCCAACTGCAGCTATTTTTGTACGTCAGCAAATACAATATAACTTGTAAAATATACATACGTCTCGAAGAACTTTTTGATGTGTGTGTGTGTGGAATTTTTTTTTATATATAATATAATTCATTATAATTTATAATTAATCTGATTTTTATTATTAATAATATTTAATATAATAACAATAATAATAGAATAATAATAATAATAATAATAATAATAATAATAATAATAATAATAATAATAATCATAATAAAAATAATAATCATAATAATCATAAAATAATGACATTTATGTTATATTATTATATTATGTTATATTATGTTATATTATATATTTTTTAATATATTCATTTTTAAACTATATATTAAAATAATTTTAGTTAATTTTCTCGTTTCTATATCTAGTATATATAATTAATGTGTCTCTGTGTGTGTGTGTTTTGAGTGTAGGAGGTAATAAAAAATGAAACCAAATTAGATTTTTCTAAATTTGGTAACGTATATATTTATTTCTATTTTAAAATTATTCTCTTTGGGGACTCTCGACTCCCTTTCTCCCTTCCCCCCTATACTTCAAGACTTTAAAATTTTTTCTATTTTCAAATTTTTCCTATTTTCATTTTGAACTCAAGTATTTTGGTTGAAAAAAAGAAACGCTTGTTAAAATTATCTCTCCTTTTTTACCCCCCCCCTCCAATCTTCTTTTACGTTTTTTCTTAACTTGTCTATCATTTTTGTTTTTTCGTCTTTCTGTATATTTTTAGATATAAATATTATTTTTCATAATTGTGTGAACAAAAAAAAATAGAGAAACGAATAAACTAATTTTTATTATACTTAAAAACACTGCAAAAAGAAGTATGTATCTTATTTTAAGATGTTTTGGTAACGTTTTCAAGACATCAAGACATCTTAAACATCTTAATGTCTTAAAAACGCTATCAAAACATCTTAAAATAAGATACATACTTCTTTTTACAGTGAAGTAAAACCAGAACTATCCGCAGTTTCTGCGCATTTCTGTCAATTTTTACTCTAGAAATATAGTAAAATTGACTCTAAAAATAGTAAAAAAAATTATTCCGGAAATAGTAAATTTTATACTATTTCTGAAGTAAAAATTGTCAGCGAAATGCTCAGAAATTGCGGTCAGTTTTGGTTTTACTTTTAAAGTCTAGTTAAAAGTTACTTTATTCGTTTTTCCATTTTTCTCCGTATATGTAATATAATATATATAATATACAATATAAATACACACTGCAAAAATAAGTGTCTTAATAAAGTATCTTATTAATATTTAAGATGCTTTTTGCGTTTTAACAAAAATGAAAATATTTCTTCCATCTTAAATTGTAAGTTACTTCGGTAAGTTTCTATAAGTAACTTGAATTAAGATATTTGTGGGGTCATAAGATGTTTAAAAAAAAGATGCTACACTGAAAAAAAATTCTAGTTAGAATAACCAGAATTTTAGTTAGAATAACCAGAATTCTGGTTAGGGTATATTTAACATTTTGATTCTGGTTAGGTTAACCAGAATTCTGGTTATTTTAACGAGAATTCTAGTTAATTCAACTAGAATTCTGGTTAACATAACTAGAAAGTAATGTTAAATATACCCTAACCAGAATTTTTTTTCAGTGTATTGTAATTGTATACGTTAGAATTTGAAGTTACTAAAATATAAAATATACATTATAAGCATCTTACATAAGAGGCCATAATTAACCTCAAAATTTTTTTCATCAAAAATATGTAAAGCACTTTGGCGTAGATACTATTAACATCTTAAACTAAGATATTTTAAATAACTAAAAAATTACTACCAAAACATCTTAAAAATAACTACCAAAACATCTTATATTAAGATACTTCTTTTTGCAGTGCAGTTATTTTTTTTTTTTTTTTTTTTTTGTTAGAAATTTTTAGGTTTTATAAAGAATTTTGTGAAAATGAAAAAAAAGAAACACTGATTTGTTAATATACAGGATAAAAAAATTATTTTTTCTTCCTTTGATATGTCGCGGAGAATATAGTATAGCAATTAGGTCGGCGCCCCCTTCTCTAAAAACCAAAGACGAGACGTAATGTAATACGCTCATTGTTGCCGATCTTGTACTTGGGCCAAATTGTCTTCCTTTAGTCGGCAATAAACTTTTCCGCCCGCTATACAACTTCCTTATAATATAAATAAATAAATAATTAAATATTATACATTTTTATATATGTAAAAAAAAAAAAATTTTTTTTTTAAGTGTTAAAAATCAGTTTTAAATTTTCCGCGCAAATTTTTAGCAGGGAAATTCAAAAATATAATTGCAATAATGAAAAGAAACTTCTTTTCTTTCCTATTTTGAAAAATATTTTCTTGGTTTTTAAAATCTTAAATTTGGCGGGAAATTGAAATATTTTTAAATATAAATAATTTATATATACAGTTTTTGAAAAAAAATTATTATTATTATTATTAATTTTGAAGATATAGTAGGGTTAGTGAAAAAAAATTTTTTCCGAATTATAAATTTAATTAACGTACAATTTATAAAGTATATATATATATATATATATATATATATATATATATATATAGAGAGAGAGAGAGAGAGAGAGAGAGAGAGAGAGAGAGAGAGAGAGAGAGAGAGAGAGAGAGAGAGAGAGAGAGAGAGAGAGAGAGAGAGAGAGAGAGAGAGAGAGAGAGAGAGAGAGAGAGAGAGAGAGAGAGAGAGAGAGAGAGAGAGAGAGAGAGAGAGAGAGAGAGAGAGAGAGAGAGAGAGAGAGAGAGAGAGAGAGAGAGAGAGAGAGAGAGAGAGAGAGAGAGAGAGAGAGAGAGAGAGAGAGAGAGAGAGAGAGAGAGAGAGAGAGAGAGAGAGAGAGAGAGAGAGAGAGAGAGAGACGAAACAAAAAAGTTGAGTTCGTAGGGACAAGTTACGTTATCTCGTGTATAATCAGACGAGAGTGCCAAAATTCAAATCCGACAACTACGGATGACTCAAGCCTCAAGGCTTCTCTCTCTCTCTCTCTCTCTTTCTCTTTCTCTCTCTATTTCTTTGCTCTCGCTTTTCCATCGGTCGACGTTGGCCCGGTTTATTTCTGTCCAATCCCAAAATAATCAGTTAGATACGGTCTCTCCTTCTCTTACATATACTCGTCAGCTTCAACGAAAATCTTCTCTCCTTCCTGACGTCGAACCAAATTTCCTTTTCACTCTCTTTTCCTTAATAAATTACAATTTTTTTTAAATTATTTTTTTTTATTATAATTATTATTAATTACCATTATTATTATTATTATTATTATTATTATTATTATTATTATTATTATTATTATTATTATTATTATTATTATTA